GGAGACACTTGAGGAAGTAACCCTGTTCTGGTTTCCAGCCTTGAATTCTACAATGCTCCAGGGGACCTGGGCTGGGACTGGAAGGATGGCTGAGAGGTTAAGATCACTGGCAGCTCTTCCAGAGGACGGGGTTCAATTCCCAGCTCACAACTATCTGTAATCCTAGCCTCAGGGGATCAGACGTCCTCTTCTGGCCTCCATAGGCACCAAGCCTGCATGTGGTCTACAGACATACATGTAAGTAAAACATTCATACACATAACATACTTTTAAAACCTTTAAAAAACAAAAGAATGCTCTGGGGTTGGGCTGTACACACACCAGGCCAAGGGTGGGAGCTGAGGAGAGGAGTTCTTTGAATGACCTGTGATTGTATCTTTACCTGAGAGAGTTCTACACTTGCCTGGATCAGGTGAGGTGAGGTGGGTGCCAAGCTCTGTATATGAAGCTCTGATCTTAGATGTTGGAAGGATTGGCTGTCAGATGGGTTGACAGAGGAGTTAACGGGTAAGTAGACAGGTGAATTACTAGGTGAGTCAATCAGTGAATGGCTTAAGGGAGGAACTCATTCCTGGTCCCAGAAGGTCAAACAATCATCTTCATTCAGACATTTTCTCCTACACCTGTGGGCTGGTTGGCGAAATTTTGATTGAGGCATCTGCATGTGATGCCACATATACTAATGGGGCTGACAATTAAGAATATCCTTTAGGCCTCTTGTGGTGGTGCACATCTTTAATTCTAGCACTGGGGAAGCAGAGTCAGATGCTCTTTAAGTTCAAGGCCAGCCTGGTCTACAGAGTTAGTTCCAGGACAGTCAGAGCTACAGAGAGAAACCCTGTCTGGAAAAAAAGAGGAAGGGAGGGAAGGAGGAAGGGAGAATATTTTTTAGGATTACATGATAGCTAATCTTTGTTATTAGTCACATCTGGAATCAACTAAGCCCCAAGCAAGCAGTTGAGCACATTTTTTTTTTTTTTTTTTTTTAAAAGACTGGATCTATTGAGGTAAGAAGATCTACCCTAAATCTACACCTTCTGTTGGTAGCCGACATAAATTACATGAAAGAAGGAAGCTTTTGCTTTTTGCCTGCTTACTCTGATTTTCATTGGCAAGTTCATCTACCCTGCTGCCAAGGCATTCCTTCAATGGTATTAGAAGTTACTTCTGTGGGACTCCCATGTAGACAGAAGACCTGGTGAGACGCCCAGACTCACGGATGGAACAACTACCAGATCTGGGCCTTTCCATCAGGAGACAGCCAATGTTGGACTGGCTGGACCACAGCCTATGAGGTACTGAATCTCTCCTCTCTCTCCCTCCCTCTCTCTCTCTCTCTCTCTCTCTCTCTCTCTCTCTCTCTCTCTCTCACACACACACACACACACACACACACACACACACACTCAGTTCTGTTCCTCTAGAGAACCCTGACTAATGTACACATAACCCTTGTCTGAGTCTTTGACAGGCATATCTAGTCGGTGTAGTGAACTACAACATATGGGTTCTATATGGCACTTGTTAATGTGCCCTCAGGTGCCACCTGCACCACCTGTCTCTGGTCAGGCTACTGGTTCCATCTCAGCTGGGCTGACCCCTTCCAAGTGGACTGCAGTCAGGTTCTCTCCATGAAATACTGTTAGGCAATCACACACATGCGCATTACAAGTGCAGGTGGCTGGCTAATGTCTCCCAGGCTCCCCCTTTAGTTTGGGGAAATAAGAACCAGGAGTTAAATTCTGACTTCTCCATCTGGAAAAACCAGTCTCTGCACATGAGTGCAGAGAACCTTCCAAAGGAGACATCCAGAGGCCATGTCCTTCTATGAGGCTGTGAATCCATCTTCATTGCCTTGGACCTCTCTCCTCTCACTTTGCTTCTTCTGACTTAAGAGGTAGCTTGTAAACATTTACTTTCCAAGGAACCTAGGTTGAACCTATGATCACAGCTATGTGATCTAGCTGGGGTTAAATACAAGAACTTCGGATCCTATTAGAGGTTTGTCCTACTTACCACCTGCCCCCTGCCCCACAACACTGGGCTATTCATTTTGTTGTCCCCGGCACGGAGTGTACAGCTTCTGATTTTCATAGTGACCCAGTCCTCTTATTCTTCTCTGTAAGATGAATCCCATTGGAGGATGCCTTTCTTGTTGGAGGATGCTCTTCTTGTTGGAGGATGCTCTTCTTATTGGAGGATGCCCTTCCTGAGTCTTCTGTATATTAGTTTTGGCCTTGGTATCATCTTATTCAAGCTCTGTGGATATTCCAGCTCACTGCCTTCTTCTGAGTGGTTGCTCTTTTAGCCTTGTGTGCAGAATTCAAAAATCAAAAGCAGATGCAGATAAAGTCTTCTGTGCTGGGCAGAAAATGGTCCCAAAGACGCCTATGTCCTGTTCCTCAGGTCCTGCCAATACCTCCTCACTTTAAAATAAATGTATTTGCAAATGTGATTAAATTAAGGCTCCTGAGCCGTGGCTCAGGCTAGGTTATCTTGAGCCTCAGTATAATCGCATGCCTCCTTAGATGATAAAAATGAAGATGGACTTCACATGTCCCCAGAAGGCAATGCATGGATGGTAGCTGTGACCTGTGGTATTGGCTTTGAATTGCAGTGATGTGGTCACAAATCCAGGGATGCTGGCAGCCAACAAAGCTAGAGAAGGCACAAAATAAATTCAACCAGAGTTTGTGGGGGAATTCAGTTTTGTTTCTTGGCCTTAGTTTTTGACTCAGTAAGACTGATTTGAGATTTCTGTACTCCATGGGGGGGGGGGGGAGATAAAAAAGTACTTCTACTGTTTTAAAGGCATCTGGTCTGTGTGATTAAAACTTCATGAATATAGGTTCTTATTTAAAAGGACCTTCAGATATGGTAGCTGAAGCCAGAGAACTACAAGTTCAAGGCTAGCCTGGGCTACAGAGTGAATTCCAGGCCAGCCTGAACCACATTAAGACCCTGTCAGCAAAACAAAAACAAAACAGGTCCCCAGGGATCACTGCCCTTGGCTTTACATGAATATTTGACTTCATTTCACCATCCTCCTGCCTCGGCCTCCTAAGTGATGTTATTAAACCATGCCCAGCTCAGTCTGTCCTTTTTGTACTTTGTTTTGTGTGTATTGATGTTTGCCTGCATACTACATTCTCTGGTGCCACCAGAGGCTAGGAGAGGGTCTCTGATCTCCTAGAATTGGAGTTACAGACAGTTGCAGGCCACCACATAGGTCCAGGAAATTGATCCCCAGTCTCCTGGAAAAGTAAGAAGTGTTCTTAACCACTGAACCATCTCTCCAGCCTGTGTCCTTTAAAAAATGTCTTAAAATTTTATGTGAGTATGCCTAAATGAGGTTATGTGTGTTGCATACATGCTCATGTGTGGTGTAAATCAGAGCACATCTGTGGAGGTTAGAGGACAACTTGTAGGAGTTGGTTCTCCCCTTCTACCATGTGGATTCTAGGACTAGAACTCCAGTGGTCAGGCTTGGCAGCAAGTGCCCTTCCTGGAACATCTTGTTGGCTCTTTTTGTGGTGTTTCTATTCTTATGTTTTTTTCCAACCCAAAGTCCACATTCTTTAAAAATACCTAAAGAAGATTGCACATTTGTTCTTTAAGCACAGGTAGGTATTGTTCCCAGACACCAAGAATCAGGTCTTGTTTTGCAGAAGAGAAGGTTCTAAGCTGAGTCCTCAGGCTTTTCTCAGCTCTCACCTACTCTAAGCTTTTCCAACTAACATACAAGTGTTCAATATCTCAGGAAAACGTGCAGAAGAGTCGAAAGAGACCCAGCATCTCACCCCTCCATGCTCAGTGGTGAAACTGGAGCCTGGGCCAGGAGCTGAACTTACCAGGAAGCCGGTCCCCAGTGCTGGGTGCTCATGATGAGTGCCAGGCCCAGCTCACAGAGGAACCAAGAGTCCTGTCACCTCATGCTATTCATGTCACAAAACAGAAGCACTGGTGCCAGGGAGTCAGGGACTACACATATTTTTGATAACACTAGTCACTATTAGGCAATTCATAATAATTTATTTCCTTCTCTTCTCCCCATCCATATTGATAAAGGGTCTTGTTGTTCAGCCTAGATTGTCTTCAAACTTTTGATCCTCCAGTCTCATCTCTTGAGTCCTGGGATTCCAGGTGACTACCATGCCTGGCCAGATATTTGTCTCAGTAACTAAAAAGCACGTCTCCCAACAGTAACAGCTTACACATGCACATCCCCACTGATCCTGCACTCTCCTACTGAGAACTTATCTGCAGGGATGCTCCACGGCTGTGTATACAAACATAATGACTCATTGCAGAAGTGTATCAAAATGCTGTTATCATGAGACTGATAAAATAAATTGTGGCACACTCAGACATTGAGACATAATGAGGAAACTGTGAAAGCACCATCACGGAAATGCTTCCAAGGCAGATCAAGGGAGAAGGCAAGACGCTGTGGAATGTGTGTATACAGAGCTGCATTTGTGGACAAGAAGGTATAAGAACCCCCTTTCCTATTTGTAAAGAGATGGTTGGGGTATGTGTGACAAGTGGTAGCTCTGTGGTGGGGATGGGCACCAGGCCGATGAGGACCAAGGAGGAGAAGGAGGCTTTTGCCCTGCATATAATTACATTTTGTGACTTGGAACCATGTGAGTATAATACGTAAAGTGTTTATTGTGGTCCTTACAATAAGAAATCTGGTTTTGGTTCTCTACATCTGATTGTCTTAGTGTCACCTGATCACCCTGGTGGCCTGTGGGATGTTCAGATTGAGTACATGTGGAAGCCATGGACACACCGAGTGTCTGGTTAGACATGCCACTTCAGACCAGAATATGATTTCTGGCATCCAAGGCTGTGGTGGGAAGACCAGTGTTGGGATTTCACATTGGTAGAAGCAGTTTTCAAAGGTTCTGAGGTTTGGGTCCCCCATCTCCAAGGCAGCTTCTAGAAAGAAGTCCAGCAAGGCTCTAGAAGGGAGGCATCAGCTGTTCCCGACTTACGAGGGAGGAATGGTGATAGCGATCTCGGGTGGCAAAGTCTGTGTTCTCCTGGGTAAGCTGAGTCATTGCCATGTCAACCTTGGCTGGGGATGGTGCCAAGACGATCTGCTCCCGGTTGGACCTCAGGCTCCTTCAGTGAGAGACATAGGAAACGGTGAAGGGAATGGAGATGAACGTGGCAACCAGTCTTCCCTGGATAGAGACACTGTGCAAATGCCAGCTGTCCTAACTGTAGCCTGTATTTAAAAGCTTAAAACACAACTGCTGAGAACTACAACAGTCTGTGAACGCAAAGTACCAGGAACAGTGTCAAGGAATGTGACGAGAGAACATTAACTGTTCTCACGTGGAACAGTAGAAAACTGTACTCTAACAAGAGACGCCCACACTCAAGACAGTGTTGTGAGGGTTCTGTAACTTTTCTTTGTTCCCCTGTCAAATGAGACAATGCAATGGCAAATCTACAGAATGGAGAAGAGTGGATAGAGAAACTGCTTTGATTCATTAGAAAGTTAAGTTGAGGTGTTACACAGGCTGCCTAGGAGAAAAGCTATCAATGGTATCCCTACAGCCAGTCTTGCTTACTATAATACCACCTTTCATGGCAAGATGTGCCTATGGCTGCAGTAGTGGCAGGAAGGTTGTGGGTGTAACCAACTACTTTTGGATTGGATTGGAGGCCTGATCCATAGAAAGGAATTAAGGCTTAGAACCATAAACCTGCTCAAAAGCCATGGCTTAGGAGGTTACAGGACCCAGGGAGGAACCTACTACTGTTGCTTTGCTAAAGAACATGATGTCAAACTGCCTTCTAAGTTTATTGCTTATATACAATAAACAGATTAGTGCTGCCTTCAACCTTAGCCAGAGAAGCTTCTCTCTGTAGTGGGCATCAGTTAACACAAAGGCTCATAACTGGTCAACGTGCTGAGAATAAGTGTCTATTGGGCACTAAGCCCTAAATGAGACATCTCAGCCCAAGGCTGAGAGAACATAAGGAAGAGGGGCAGAATGAAGGAGCCAGGGAAGGGAGAGGTGCTGCCAAAAGCTGTCCTTTGGACATGGCATGGCCACGGCACTCACGAACTCATTGTAGCTGGGATTACTCACACACAATTAAGTCAACCAGATCAATTCCAGCAGGCAGCATTTACAGGGCTCAGTGTTATCACATACAAAAAGGGAGAGGACATGAAATGGGAAGGGGGATTGCTGCAGGTGCCTGGGACTTGGTGCACAAGATCACGATGCATTGATTACACGTATAAAGTTATCAAATGATAAACAAACAAGAGATATTCTATAAGAAAGAAGGAGGGGAAGGAAGGAGGGAGGGAGGGAAGGAAGAAAGGAAGGAAGCTGAGTGAGTAGTTGCCAGGGCACCAAGCAAGCAGTGGATGTAACAGGCCCAGGATCTGGGTACCAAAGCAGTAAAGACAAAGAGAAGCCCAGGTTTAGTCTACTGGCGCCAGCCTCTGCAGATGCAGGTGGAGACACTCGTGAAGGTCATGCACCAGGCTGGTTCCAGAGGAAGGTATTAGAGGCTGGAGAAGATATTGCTGCCCCTAGCCCTGGCCCTCTTCAGTAGTGGCCTCAGGGTGCCTCCGTCCCCACAGGTCTCTGTTTTCTCTCCTCCATGGCCCGTCCTGGTCCAGAGCCTATCAGGTCGTTGAGTTCTCCCAGAGACACAGATTTCCTCTGAACATCTTCCCCACAACAGATTCAGCTGCTTTACTTAGAGTAACATTCAAGTGCTCAAATCAGGAATGTAAAGCAAGACAAAGAGGGATGCAAAAAGATAGAAGTCTAAGGATGGGAGTCTGTAGAACGTCAGCAGCAGTGTCAGCTGACCCCGGAAAGTGTTTGATCACATGACCCGGGCACTACAGACATTTGTTGAGAATGTACCTAAATTAGTTCTGTTAAGACTTCCTGAAAACTGAATTTGCTTCTGTAAGGCTGGAATCTGCAAACAGAAGTGGCCAAAATGCCACAGTAGACAATCATAGATGTTTTGTCAATATTTATTTATTTATTTATTTATTTATTTATTTTGAGCAGGTAAAAGCCACACAGTTTCCCAGAACTGCTTGCAGACCCTCATCAGGACAGTTGCTAGGGCTCCAGGGAGGAAAGTCTTCTAAAGGTCAGGGTTAACCTCACAGAGTAACTGTGAGATATAGGTACTACAGAGGTCAGAACATAGCAAACCCTTCCACCCAAGCATACTTAACCGTGATTTGCCCTTGGTTTTGAAGGACATTTTGGGAAAAGTCAAAACTACAAAGCAGAAAGCAAGGCTACCAATTTCTATTTTTAAGCCACTTCTTGGCCCTTCCCTCCTCTAAATCATCACAAAACACACCCAGGAGCTGTGGTGAGGCCAGCAAGTTTGATGCTGACTTGGCCAAGGCTCCTCAACCCTCTTCGCTAGTCCAGAGCCATGCACTGAGAGAGGAGCTGTGTGGATTAACTTCTTTTCCTAGGTCCTAACACCTTGTAGGTGACATCCCAGAAATTCGGAGTACACCCTGTGGAGGTGAACCCTGTAGCCAGTTTTTAGGATTTCAAACCAGAAATGACTAAATATATTCTTGTAAATCAGATTATACCAAATATCCCCACCCACACATTTGAAGCTCAAAATTTTGTGGGCAGCTTCTATACCAAACCTATTTCCACTTAATCTACTTTCTCTCAGGACTAGGTGATGGGAGAAAGAGATCTGTGTAGGTGTGCTGCGACCTCATGCCTCAGACAGGAAGAGGGGCAGAGGTTACCCCACATCAGCACAGCTCCAGGGAGAACATAAAACAACCAGGAAATGCAGCCGATAGAGTTGTCATTCTGTTCACACGCTCTGCTCCAGGGCCCTCACTTCTTATGCCAACTTGAACAGATTGGCAGTATTTCCAGAGAGCTATTGCAAAAAGGATGATAGGATAGGGGCTGGAGAGATGGCTCAGTGGTTAAGAAAAGCACTGTTCCTACAGAGGACCGAGTTCTGTTCCCAGCACTCAAATTGGGCAGTGTATAACTACTTGTAACTCCAACTCCAGAGGAACCTAATAACTCTAGCCTGCTAAGGAACCTACACTCATGTGCATATATATGCTCCCCTTTCCAATACACATAATCAGAACAACAACAAAGAATGCTTTGGAATGCAGAGAGATGGTTCAATGTCCATGGAGATGAGTGGTGATGATGGCTATATGACAGTATGATTGTATTTAAAACCATGAATATGCACTTACAGATGATTAAGATGATAAATTTTACGTTATGTGTTTAACACCACACACGCACACGCGCATGCACACACACACACACACACACACACACACACACACACACACACACAGCTAAGAAGGAAACACAAAGAGAGAAAAAGGATTCTACCCTTACATCTGGAATCAATGGAAACAGGTCCTAAACTTCATTAGCAATGTCTGGGCATGGAAGGTGCAGATATTGACAAACACAAATCACACATCCAGAGTTTCAAAATCAAACCACCAAAATGAAACCAAATAAGCCCTGGGCTGCAATCTGCTTGGACTTGCCTGGCCTGCATCTGATATTGAAAGGGGGCGCAAGGCAGAAGTAGTTCCCAGAACCCTGAGGCCATAAGGATAAGGAAGTTTGGGTTTCCTGCTAGGGTGGGAAGAAGCCAGAGAGAAGGGGTAGCAGGGGACATTCCCTTCAAGATAAGTCCCCCCACTGCCCTCTGTGTGAGTGTGTGTGTGTGTGAGTGTGTGTGTGTGTGAGTGTGAGTGTGTGTGAGAGAGTGTGTGTGAGTGTGAGTGTGAGAGTGTGAGTGTGTGAGAGAGTGTGAGTGTGTGTGAGTGTGTGGATGTGTGTGTGCGTGACAGGGAGGTGTGTGTGAGAGAGGAATGTGTGAGTGTGTGAGAGAGAGTGAGAATGTGTGTGGATGTGTGTGTGTGTGAGAGAGAGAGAGAGAGAGAGAGCATGGCAGACTCACAGCAGTCCTTCACAGCCTCTCATCTGTCTATACTTGGCTTACAGAGTGTCAGTCACAAGTAGAGTGACACCAACTACCTTTGGCCTAGATGAGAAACATGAGACCCAATTTCACTTTTCCTTAGGCTTTGATCTTGAGCACAATTAAGTATTGGTGGGAATGTGATGTAAACTGAGAATCTGTTGAGATCAGCTCCAGTGACCTGTCAGCCAGACTGAGGGCATGAAGGGAAGAGGACATGAGCCTGAAGGAGGTACTGACGAGCTCAGTCCAGGAAAGAGGAGTGGAGGGCAGTGAGGATGAGTGTGAGCACTGAGTGTGAGTGTGAGTATGAGTGTGAGCACTGAGTGTGAGTGTGAGGATGAGTGTGGGTGCTGAGTATGAGGACGGTGAGGATGAGTGTGAGCACTGAGTGTGAGGACAGTGAGGATGAGTGTGGGTGCTGAGTGTGAGGACAGTGAGGATGAGTGTGAGCACTGAGTGTGAGTGTGAGGATGAGTGTGAGCACTGAGTGTGAGTGTGAGGATGAGTGTGGGTGCTGAGTGTGAGGACAATGAGAATGAGTGTGAGCACTGAGTGTGAGGACAGTGAGGATGAGTGTGGGTACTGAGTGTGAGGACAGTGAGGATGAGTGTGAGTACTGAGTGTGAGGACAGTGAGGATGAGTGTGGGTACTGAGTGTGAGTGTGAGGATGAGTGTGAGCACTGAGTGTGAGGACAGTGAGCATGAGTGTGAGCACTGAGTGTGAGGGTGAGTGTGGGTGCTGAGTGTGAGTGTGAGGATGAGTGTGGGTGCTGAGTGTGAGGACAGTGAGGATGAGTGTGCGTGCTGAGTGTGAGGACAGTGAGCATGAGTGTGAGCACTGAGTGTGAGGGTGAGTGTGGGTACTGAGTGTGAGGGTGAGTGTGGGTGCTGAGTGTGAGTGTGAGTATGAGTGTGGGTACTGAGTGTGAGGACAGTGAGGATGAGTGTGGGTGCTGAGTGTGAGGACAGTGAGGATGAGTGTGAGCACTGAGTGTGAGGACAGTGAGGATGAGTGTGAGCACTGAGTGTGAGGACAGTGAGGATGAGTGTGAGCACTGAGTGTGAGGACAGTGAGGATGAGTGTGGGTGCTGAGTGTGAGTGTGAGGAGGAGGATTTGGTACTGAGTGTGAGGACTCTGAGGATGAGTGTGAGCACTGAGTATGAGTGTGAGGATGAGTATGGGTGCTGAGTGTGAGTGTGAGGATGAGTGTGGGTGCTGAGTGTGAGTGTGAGGAGGAGGACTTGGTACTGAGTGTGAGGACTCTGAGGATGAGTGTGAGCACTGAGTATGAGTGTGAGGATGAGTGTGGGTGCTGAGTGTGAGTGTGAGGAGGAGGACTTGGTACTGAGTGTGAGGACTCTGAGGATGAGTGTGAGCACTGAGTATGAGTGTGAGGATGAGTATGGGTGCTGAGTGTGAGTGTGAGGATGAGTGTGAGAGGAAGAGGACTTGGTACTGAGTGTGAGTGTGAGTGTGAGGATGAGTGTGGGTGCTGAGTGTGAGTGTGAGGAGGAGGACTTGGTACTGAGTGTGAGGACTCTGAGGATGAGTGTGAGCACTGAGTGTGAGTGTGAGGATGAGTGTGGGTGCTGAGTATGAGTGTGAGGAGGAGGACAGTAAGGTGCGAACATCGGCCTCATGGAGCTTCTCCATTGCTGAGTTCTGCACCACACACATCCAGGCCCACACACATCCAGGAACAAGACCCCCAAGGCACCTCCCAAGCCTGGGACACTCATCCATCCTTGCACCAGCCCCAGTGGGCACCGACCTGCAGGAGGCGTCAGGAGGGACTTCATCCATCGGAAAAAGCTGAAGTTTGAGGCTGATCCTGTGAGGAAGAGGAGATGGGCATAGACGTTGAGGATTTTTCCATAGACATCTTGAACCCCAGCTTCATAGGGGCTTACACACCCCTTAAAACACCCACATACACCTTTCATATGTGTGCACATATACAGAATGAGCACACTTTCCCACTCAAACCAAAGAGTCACACAGCCTGCCAGCAGCCTGCCTCATGCTCATGGACAGCTCTCAAAAATACATTTCTATGCTCCCCATCCCTTCAGAGGAGACTGGGTGGAGCCTGCTGTAAAGAAAGGGGAAGGACACTTGCTGCTTTTGCCTTAGGGATGTGTGTGCTGAATGCATCCCTCCACCAGGACCACATACTCTGAGAAAGGGAACATGACTTTTTTGTCCTCATAACCTGATAGGATCTGGCACTTAGATAGTTTCTAACAGGTATTAAGTGAACAACACAGTTCAGTGTGCAGAATTGTTTGAAGTGAGGCATTTGTTTGTTTTTTGTATTAGCCAGATAACCTTTATGTATGACACATTGATCTGAGTAAAGTTCAACCTTAAATACACATATGTAGTAAAATATATATTTATAAAACATATGTTTATTATTCACATAACACACTATATAAATTTATGTATAAAATATGTTTATATATCGTTTATAATATCAATATATTATTGCATATAATTACTATGCAATATAAATTATATATTAAATAATATAATCATTATTATTACTTAATTATATAACATATAAATATTTATGACTAACCTACTCATATGATTATATTACATAATTATTATTCTATAACATGTTATTATATTATATGTAATACATGTTATATATTATGCATTATATATATATATATTTATTATTGACTATATATATTGAATTTTAGGTCAGTACAAGCTACTGAGAAAGACCCCATCTCAATTAAATGAATAATAACACCTTATCTGGGCTGGCTGTGATAATAAACACATCTTGTCCCAGCATTTGGGAGGTAGAGGCAGGCAGATTTCTATGAGTTTGAGGCCAACCTAGTCTACATAGAGAACTCTAGGCCAGCCTGGTACATAGTAAGGTCTTGTCTAGAACAACAACAACAAATCCCTTTGTTGATGATCTGTCTTAGTTACTTTTCTGTTGCTGTCATGTGACCAAGACAACTTACAGAAGGAAGGATTTATTTGGGTTTATGGTTCCAGGGGTGAGAGTCTGTCACCATCACTGCAGGGAAACGTGACAGCAGATGGGGCATCTGGAACAGAGGCTGAGTGCTCACATCTTAAACCACAATCAGGAAGCCAGGAAATCAAACCGGGACCAGCAGGTGACTTCCAAACCTTCTGTGGTTTTTGAATCTCAGAGCACACGCCTACTGACATATTCCCCCAGCAAGGCTATACCTCCCAAGGCTATCAGAACAGCACCACCAGGTGGGAACCCAATTCAGATGCCCAAGACTATGAGGAACATTTCCTTCAAACCACCACAACCTTGGCATGGCGTTACGTATAACCCTCCCACCCAAGGCAGGGGTTCACTCTAGTCCAGGCTGGCCTTGAACTTAAAGGTCTTCCTTTCTCGGCATTCCAAGTGCTAGAATTATAGGCACACACTACCCTGCCCAGCTCAAATTATATATGACTTTGGAAAATTAATCAATCAAAAATTTAGAAAAGACATTCCTCAATTACATGAGCAGACACAGCTGAAATAGACTAGTGAGACCATGTTTAATGCATGATCAAGAAATCAGCAGTGTTTTAAGATGCTTATGTTCAAATCTTGGTATCTTGTAAGGCTTCTGTGGTAAAGCAGAGCAAACATTATAGATCTGCAATAGTATATGTTACTGCAGAGAGGAGAATCCTAATATATCCAGGTAATCAATATGTATTCTATAGAAGATACAAAATAAAAGAGTTATTAATTGCCCTTTCTTATATGTGATCATTTAAATTCTAAATTATCTAAATTATAGACACTGGCCTGAAATTTTATTTCATACTTGCCTGTGATTGGATTTCTGGGAAAATATTTAGATTTCCTATGATGAAGCAATCATTGATGTAATCATTATGTTAATTAAAATATATTCTATCTGTAAAATTAGATGATATAGGATCTTTCATAGCATTACTGTTTTTCTAAGACATTATATTTAGTACATATTTTCACTTTAAATTTCTGTAAAAATATATATAGCAAACTGCTGTAATTCTAAAGATCTTTTTTTCTGGTATGTCCAGATTGTTCTTCTCCATCTGATTTAGCTAGGACATGATAGTAATTACTTTCTGTTTTTGAGACAGGGTCTCACTGTGTGGCTCTATCTGGCATAGAACTCACTATGTAGACTAGACTGACCCTGAACTCAGAGATCTACCCGTCTCTGCCTCCTGGGTGTCCTGCACCTAGTGATATTAATTGCTTTATTTTAAATTGGAGCATCATAGAGTTTTCTGAAAAGCCCCCCCACCCCAGTGTGTGTGCGTGTGTGCATGTGCACGCATGCTGCATGCATGCATGTGGTGCTAGGGATTAACTAAGGCCCTTGGGTATGCTATGCCAGCACTCCACCACTCAGTTACATCTGTAGCCCTCCACCTCATCTTTTAAGAAATATTTTGTTTTGTTTTTAACTGTCTATGTGTGTGGGTATGTTCATATGATTTCAGCCTAGAAGAGGACATTGAATGCCCTGGAACTGGAAATGGAGGTTGTGAACCATCCCATGTGGGTTCTGGGAGATGAATAATCTGAGTTCTCTGAAAGCACTGAAGGTGCTTTAAACTACTGGGCCATCTCTCCAGTCCTCCTTCAATGTATCTTTTAAAAATAATATTTTATTCACTATTTGAGAGCTTCAGGCAATGAATTTTATCATTTCACCTCTCTCTCTGTGTCTCTCTCTCCTCTTTTCAGATCCACATCCCTACCCATCAGACTTCCAATTTTCTTTTTTAAACCCATTGAGTCCAATTTGTGTTTCCCAGCTTCTCTTGGGAGTGGGACAACCCTGGAGTGTGGTTAACCTACTAGACTTCACACCAATACAGGACACTGACTCTCACACTGGGCATGGTGGTGCATGCCTCTAATACCCAGAACTTGGGAAGCAGAGGCAGGCACATCTCTGTGAATTCAAGGCCAGTCTTGTCTAAGATGTGAGTTCCAGGTCAGCCAGGGCTACACAGTGAGACCCTGTCTCAAAGAAAAAAAGAAACAAAAAATAAAATGGACTTTCCCTCTCCCAGTAGCTTTTGAATGCCAACATCTCCTCATTTAGTAGTGAGATTTTGTTTCTACCTCCCTCTCTCCATGTTTGGATTTTGTCTGGCTTGAGATTGCAACAAGTCTTGTGCATAGCCACAATCATTGTGAGTACATACGTGTGGCTGCCCTGTCATATCTGGAAAAGACTATTTCCTTGACGTTCTCTGCCACCTCTTTTACAATCTTCCTGCTCCTATTTGGAGAAGATCATGAGTCTTGGGGTGAGGAATGTGGTATGTATGGCCCTTTTAGGGGTAAGCACTCCACAGTCTCTTCATCCTTAGATGTTGATCAGTTGAATATCTGTGTTCATTGCCACCTACTGATAGGGGATGGCCTTCTGTATATATGTTTCTCTTATTGGTCGAATAAAACACTGATTGGCCAGGCAGAAAGATAGGCGGGGCTAGGAGATGAGGAGAAGGCTGGGGAGAGAGGGCTCCAGGGAGAGACACCATGCTGCCCAAGGATTGTGGGTAAGCCACAGCCTCATGGCAATACATAGATTAGTAGTTATTGGTTCATAATTAAGAGGAAGATAGACAGTAAGAAGCCCTAACCATTGGCCAACAGTTTTATAACTAATATAGTGTCCATGTTTATTTGGGGATGAAGGGTGGCAGGACCTGGCGGAAAGAAAAACCAGAAACAATTTACTTCAAGAAAAAGTTTCTCTGATGAGGGCTAATAGGTACACTGAGTGTAGCAATAGTTCATTGGGAGCTGTTTTCATGGTATGTCTATTTAGCAGTATTAGGTTCTCTCTTGGGGCTTATGACCTATTTATCCACAGGTTCTTGGCCACATATGGGTTCCATCTCATGGAATGGATTTTAGATCAATCAGAAAGTGGTTGGTTACTCCCATAACACTTGTGCCATTATTGCACTAGTGACATATCCTGCCAGGTCACTCATTTATTGTGGCTCATAGTGCTCCCGGCTGGGTGGGACCGATGATTACTTTTCTCCTCCAGTAGAATGCATAGCACCTTCCAGCACCATGAAAGCTAGCCAAATTCTAGAGGGTAACCAAAAATTGTGGAAATCACCTGTAATGTTTGGTGGTTTCTACATGGAACCTCACTGGTCAAGGACTCAAAAAGAGGCAACCCATTCTGATTCTTGGGTTTCTATTTGCTAGCATGTGGTATCTTGTTAGAGTATTGTACCCCCATTGTAACTCCATTTTAAACTATTTTTATATGTTTATATGTATATTTTGTGAAGCTTCTACAGTAATAAGAATGGCTTTTTCAAAAGTGTAAGTAATCCCTCCCCATATTCCCTCTTCTACCATGCCCTCCCACTCCATTTACTCTTCCTCGTTCCATTATTCTCTCTTCCTCCATTATATTGCTGTATTCTATGTCCCTTCTATTAAAAGCATACTCCCAATGGTCCCTTACTACTTTCCTAATCTCTGGGGTATTCCAAATGAACCATACATATCTAACTATTCCAAGCTAACATCCACATATAAGAGAAAACATGCAACATTTGTAAGGTAACATGAGTCTGTGTTACCTTACTTACAATGACTATCTTCATTCATTACCTTTGCATTCCATAATTTCATCTTTAATAGCTGACTAATATTCTATTGTGTAAATGTACAATAGCCAGGAGATGGAAACAGCCTAGATGTTCATCAACTGATGAATAGGTAATGAAAATTCAATGAATTTACACAATGGACTGTTATTCAGCTGTTAATACATCTTTAAGATTGCTTTATTATTGAGGAAAAATATAAATTATGTGCTGTGGTTTGAATGTGTTCCCCAAAGTTCTTGGGTGGGAACTTTATCTTTAGTGTAAGTGTTGAAAGGCAGGATCCTGAGATGGATGGTCCAGTCATGGTGGCTCTGTTCTCTTAACTGGAGTGATGCTCTATCCTGAGAGTGGCTGAGTTATCTAGGGAGTGGGTTAGTTATCTAGGGAGTGGATTAGTTATCTAGAAAGAGTGTTATTTATCTAGGGAGCTGGTTAGTTATCTAGGGAGTAGACTCCTGATAAAAAGATCATTTCATCTCTCTTCCTCTCTCTTCCTTCTCTTTTCTGCTTCTATGAAGGGGGATGTCCTTTTGTATATGTTTCTCTTATTGGTTGATGAATAAAACACTGTTGGGCCAATGGCCAATGAGGCAGTAAGATAGGTGGGACTAGGAGAGGAGACTGGGGAAAGTAGTCAAGAGAGCCTGCCACAACAGGCAAAGGAGTTGCAGGTCTGGCATTCTCCAGTAAGCCAAGACCACGTGGAAACACATAGATAAGTAGTTATAGGTTAATAGTTAAGATAGAGCTAGCCAATAAGAAGCACTAGCCAGTGGCCAATAATTAATATAGCATCCATGTGTTCATTAGGGGCTCAAGGGCAGTGGGACCCTAGCCCAGACAAAGAAAACTTGTTACACCCCCTAGTTCCATATCTGCCATGGGATGTCTTTCTCTGTGTTATAATGTATCAATTAGGCCTTAACCTAAGTACCCTCTGGTCCTATGCTTCTCAGTCTCCAGAACCCTTAGCTGAATAATTTTTTGTTGTTTATAAGTTGTTCAGTTTATGGTATTCTGCCTTATTATTAGGAAGGAGACATTTTCTATTTTCTGTATTGTTTGTTTAGACAGGGCTTTATTATGTTGCCCTGGCTAGCCTATACAACTTGCTATGTAGTCCAGGCTTGCAGAGTCTTAGCCCAAACACAGAAGGTTGAGCTAGGTCCAAGGAAGGGTAAGTGCACAGCTTGCCTGTTCTCCCAGGATCCTGGAGACAATCAGACACAGCAGGGAGTCTAGTCAAGCAGGAACTTGTTTATTGCCCCATAGCAAGCATCTTTTAAAGCATAAATAAATAAATCATAGGGCAGGAAAACAGCCAACCAATGGTTTTAAAAGTTAACCTATTATGTGCCTAGGTGCCCTATGCTTTACCTAGTGAACACAAGCCATTCATGCAGTGACCTTATCTGGTTCAATCTTGGTAACCAATTACCCTTTTTTGTAAACATCTCAGGACTCACCTTCCTGACTGGCTCGTGTGCCCTTCACAGGCTGGCCTTGAATTCACAGAGATCTGCCTACCTCTGTTTCTTGAGTGCTGGGATTAAAGGTATGCAACATCATACTTGGCTATTTTCTTTTTCATATGTGTAGGTTGTCCACTGATATAATCTCTTTTATTCCTGGTTTTGGTCATTTGCATCTTTTCTTATTCTGATTGGTCTGCCCAGAAGCCTACTGATTTTACTGACCTTCTGACAAGAATGTCCTCCATACACACAAGCGTTTAAACACTGGGGACTCAGAGGGTGGCACTGTTTGGCGAAGTTTAGGAAATGTGGCCTTGCTGGAGGGGGTGTGTCACTAGGGGAAGGCTTTGGGGTTTTAAAGCCTCTCTTCATTCTTGGTGTTCTTTCTGCTTTGTACTTGTTGTTCAAGATGTGAATTCTCAGCATTCAGTTCCTGGCTCCCTGCCTACTGCTTGCTGCCATGATGGACTCTTTTTCCTTTGGAACCCTGAGCCCAAATAAACCCTTCCTTTTGTAAACTGCCTTGGTCAAATGATACTATCGCATTAACTCACAGCATAGGAAATGTACAACATTATACTACATTAGTATACTTTATTTCAATACATTATTTTATCCTTGCCTCTTTCGCCATTGTTATCATCCATTTTAGTTCTACAGGTCTTGTAAGTCTCAAATTATTTGCCAGTGTAATTCATTTATAGTTATTTATGTGCATGTCATATTTAACACGAAATTCTTCAATGGAAACTAGAAAATATAAGGGAAATAGTAGCACAATGACTTAGCCACTTACCTAGGTAAAGACTTGGACTGGACTGGCCAATGTAGAAATACACAATGACAGCAACACCCATGCTAAGTAGGGTATAGACCCACTGAATCACAAACATGATGAGAAGGGATGCAATGGCCTACAGAAATAGATAGGAAGAGTAAGTCACCTAATGGTTTTACATAGGGTAATCAAAATACAGGACTATGTAAGGCCTTAGGAGACAGTGATCTCTCTGAGCTCTGAACAATTAAAGTTTGCTTATAATAAAAGTAAGTAAATAATAGTAGTAAATAAAAATACTTATAATAAAAGTCTGAATAAAGTTTAATTACATGAAATAAATAATAAAGTTTACTTACTAGGGTAGGTGGGGTTTTTTTGTTTGTTTGTTTGTTTATTTCTTTCTTTTCTTTTTGTCACTTGTACTTTTGACAACTTGTACTAGGGCCATCTGGGAATAGGGAACCCAGTTGAGAACATGCCCCCTTCAGATTGGCCTCTAGGCATTTTTAAAAATATTGTTAATTGATGGGGAAGGACCCATTCAACTGCGGGTGGTACCATCACTGGGCAGGTGGTTCTAGAGGGTATAAGAAAGCAGGCTGAGCAAGCCATGAGGAGCAAGCCAGTAAGCATGATCTCTGCTTTAGCTCCTGCATCCCGTTTCCTGCCCTGACTTCTTGCCCTGACTTCTTTTCATGGTGGACTATAAGCTGTAAGATGAAATAAAGCTCTTCTTGCCAAGATGCCTTTGGTCAATGTTTATCACATCCATGGAAAGCCAACTAAGACAGGTGGTTAGTGTTGGCTGCTAACTTTATAGGATCTAGAATTACCCAGGAAGCAAACCTCTGGGCATATCTGTGAGAAATTTATTTAGATTATATTAGTCCCTGGATGTGACTGTGAGAGGTGGTTTTGGTTAGATTAATTGAGGTGTTAAGACCTAAGGTGACACCATCCCCTGAGCTTGAGTCCTAGACTTCATGAAAAGGAGGAAATACAGGCATTACAGGGAAGTACAAGCTGAGCACAGGCATTTATCTTTCTCTGCTCTCTGACTATGGGTGGATACAATGTGACTAGATACTTCAAGCTCCTGCTGCAAGGACTCCCTGGTAATGATGGACTGACCGTTAAACAATGAGCCAAAATAAGTCCCAACTACAACAGAAAACTGGTACCAGAAGTTGGGTTGTTGCTGTGACGAACCTGACCACATGGCTCTTAGTACTCTGGAACTGGTTTTGCAGGCAGAATGTAGAAGAACTTTGTGATGCTAAAGCCTTCTGGTACAGCACATAAAGTTTAGTGGGCCACTCTGTTTTGAATTGGGAAGACAAGAATGCCAATAGGAATGCAGACAGTGGAGACATAGCTCCTGAAATTCCCAATGGGAACAAGGACTCTGTCACAAACTGGGCTAGAAGGCATTCATGTGACATTTTGGACAATACTGTGTGGCTCCATTCTGCCCATGTCTTAAGGACTTAAGTAAGTGAAATTGAATGTAAAGATGATAGATTAATTTGTTTGGTAGAAGAATTACAAAACAGGAGAGAATCCAGGCTATGGTATGATGACTTTCTTCTGCACTTTTTTGGTCTACGGTGAAAAGGTGTAAAAAGTTGAGCATGAAGGTAGAAATTAAAGTGTGGTTTGCCAAGGATAAGAGTTTAGCAAGTTAAACTATGAGACCAAGGAGCATGCTGAAAAAGAGGCTATAACTGTTAAAGAGAAGCATTCTGCTTTGTAATGGGACAACAAGAAAGATGTCCCCCAGGCAAGACCTTACCCATGAAAGGGTCCACTTTTCAAAAAAAAAAAAAATACAAAAAACAAAAGCAAACAAACAAACCACAAATTCTTTGGAAAGGAGAGAGTCAAAATCGAATTACAGAATGTCACTGGAGGGGGTTCCCTATTCCTCAGAAGCACCTGCTTAGAGACACATTTTCCTAGGATCAGCACACAAAAACTGATTCAGCTGTGGTCCAAGGAGACTAGGCTGCATCCATAGCTAGCCACAGGACTGAGGGTGTTGTGACATCTTGAACCACAGTTTTCAGAGAGACATTGAGGTCTGCCAATATACTGCAAGATTGGAGCCCCCATAAGGAGGCCTTGAGAGGCCATGGTGTGAAACTGTGTGGTGAAGTCTACGTTACTATACGTACTATGCGTTACTATAAAGATTCCAGGATATCTGCTGAGGAAAGCTACAGCCATAAAGGACAGCAGGCCCAAGAAAAAAAGACTCCACAGGCAGAGGAGCAATCAGGGTAGGCTATCCAAACCTTTTTGATCCCATATGATTCCACAGCCCCAAGATGGTAGGTGTGAAGCTGTAGGAATTGATGTTTACTGAGTTTTGGGTTTGCTTTGTTCTGATCTTCTTTGCTATTCCCCCATTCCTCCTTTTTAGAGTGAGAATATGTATTCTGTGCCATTGCATACTGCAAGTATGCTAACTTGTTTTAATTGTGTGGGAGTTCATGTTTAAGAGACTGCCTTGCATCTTAGATGCGACTTTAACGTTGGGCTTTGAATGCTGTTGAAACTGTTAAAGGATATAGGGGCCTCAAAGTAAACTAAACACATAATGCATTATGAAACGGCCATGAGCATGAGGACAAGGGGTAAAGAGTTATGGCTTAAAAGTTAATGGTTTGGTTGTTAAACTGACAAGAGGTAGAACTGTGGTCGGTTAGTGTAAATTGTCAACTTTAAAATTGGGATCTAGAATCCTGATTTTGGGTTCTGGAATGAAAAGAGTAACTATACACTTACTCAAGCAAGTTTTGTGGGGAAAACACTCTTTGAGGATAACCCCTGAATCAAAGCCACCAGCAAGAAGGCACTCTGTCTTAGTTACTTTTCCTGTTGCTGTGTTATGCTATCCTGACAAAAGCCACTCAAGGGAGAAAGGGTCTATTTTGCCTCAGTCAGAGGCTCACAGCCATGGCCCGTCATAGTGGGAAGTCACAGCAGTGAGGATTTGAGGCAGCCCGTCACATTGCACTGACAGTGCATAGCTCACTCTCTCAGTTCAGGTCCCAGCCTAAGGAATGGTGTCACCCACACTGGGCAGCCCTATAGGCACTCCCCAAAGCCTGTCTCCAGTCCACTCCACATCTCACCAAGCTGACATTGAGATTAACTACCACACTATTTTACACTCCTCCCTACAATCAGCAAATTTGCATGAAATTAGTAACCCAGGGTGATCAGATACGATTATTTAAATGATAGATAATAGATTAAAATGAGTGGTTGATTAAATGTAAATCTTGTCATAATGGTTCATCTGAATTCTAATAAAACAAGCAATTTAATCATGTTGATGCTAATTACTACCTTTTCTTCCCTTACATCTGTCTCATACACACACACCTTCACCTAAATCTTTTCTTAAGGACACTGAGATCAAGAAGAAATTACTCACCCCAAACAGGGAGACCCATGGGTTACACATGCAAGTATAGGAAGCACTTGGTCTCCTCTGGACCTCTTGCTCCTGAAGTCGGCATTTCATAAAGAAATCTAAAAAATGAATTGGCCAAATACTTCATTACTGACTTACAACCAATCCCTCTCTAACTTTATAAGTATATATCTACAAGCTCATAAGCCCTGATTTTGCAATTTAGCCTAGAACAAGCTCCAAGCACTTGCTCATGGAGAAGGAAGGAGGAAGGACTTACGGCACAGATCTGAAAAGAATAGGCAGAATGGCCAGAGTAGAAGTGGAAGCTTCCCCAAGCCCGCTGCACATTTGTCCCTCTCTGTCGTCTGGGGGCACCCAAAGCCCCTTTCTTCCCTGTCTTTCAGATGGAGGGGTCAGAAGCCAGGAGCTGGACCCTGGGGTTTGGGTTCCCATGTGGCCACTGGAACTGTTGGGCCAGGCTGGCTTTTGTCTACAATGGGATAGATTTTGCCACCGTCTAACAGCTGGGCATTTAACCTGGTCTCAGATACACATCAGAAGCTGACAAAGGAGATGGGGAGGGGGGAGCCCTCCCCGGATTCCTTCCTCTGGCTGTTGAAGAGGCCGAGGGGACCAAAGATCTGAGCACAGCAAACTGGTCCCACTCCCTTCGCCACGGACTTCCGGCACATGGGAGCGTCCGGAGTTGCATGTTTGTTAGTTAGCTCTATGCCTTCTCAGTTTACATGACTCCAGACATGCCCATTTAACCGTGAACATGCGTATAGATCGATTCACTGTGTGTCCTAATCATCGTGAACCCTCTGGGCGAGGTGATTCAAACAACTGGTAATGCTGGATTAACCTTGCTGTGTGTTTGTGCCTCATTTTGACACTAAACTTCTCAGGAAATGTTTCAACCCCTTAACCTTCACTTCCCAGCATCAAGTCGTTCTTCAGCTAAAATACCCGAGTGTGCCAGCCCCTCTCCTGGTCCTTTGCTCCACGTCTTGATCCTGTCTCACTCCCAATTTTCCTGTTTCCTTGGACTGCTTCTCATGGACCCTGTCTCTTTGCTTGCCTGTCATCTACCCCTCAGGTCACAGTCCCTATCACTGCCTCACAAAAGTTCACCCTGCCACAACAATCTAATTCCTCACAGTGTTCGCATTCCTTTGTGCCACCTCCTTTCTGTCACAGAATTTGCTATCATTGCATCTGCGGTCCTATATACTTATTTATATCTTTCTGTGCCCCCTGGAGTACATGTGTCTTGGGGGCAGGATCCAGGTCCATCTTGAGGCTAAGGCTTACAGCTGGCAATCGACACGCATTTCAGTTCAAGTCTGCTATTTTCTCTGGACCCCGTGCCTTTTAGAACTAGTCCCTCTGGACCACAGTGGTGGTGCAATCTGTAATCTCAGTGCTCAAGAATCTAAGGCAGAAAGAAGGATCACAAATTCTAGGCCAACCGGGGCTACACAAAGGGACTGTGATTTAAAAGCAGAAACTAAACCAAAACAGACCTAGCTCCTCCAAATTATGTCAGATTAAATAGATTATATCACACCTTGTTATAATACCGGAGGCCTACTGTTGCCTGTTGACAGATTTTCAGGGAAGCAACTGGATCGTGAAAGCTATGGTGTCATAAATGGATGCCCCCTGATGATTTAATAACTTGGTAACATTATTAGGAGGTGAGAGAACCATTAGAACTGGTTCTTGGTGAGAGGAAGGCGGTCACTCGGGTAGGGGTGTGCCTCTGAGAGGTGTGTGGTGTCCATTACGAGGTGAGCAGGCTACCCTCTGCCCCCATGACATCCTGCAACACCACAGGCCCAGAGGCAACAGACCAGACACCTACAGACTGAAAGCCAAAAAAATGCAGCAAAGAGTAAAGACTGACTCCTCCCTTCAAGTCACTGCCCCCGGTGTTTGTAACAGCACAGGAAGTCCAACAGTTCGCCCTTTGTCGTGTAGTCTTTTACCACCTTCCTGGTTATGTCTTGCATTTCTCTGGGTAAAGATTTCAGCCCGTGCCCTGCCATCTTCCACTGTCAGCACTGTCTGCCGTCATACTCGGTAACTTCTGCATGAGCAACACATTCAACTCCCTTCCCTCTCAGTTCCGTGAAAGCTTCGCTCCAGCACTCACTCACTTTGATTTCTCCTCCCTTAGCCACACTTGAGGGCTGTCATCACAGGTAACCTAACATTTTACACACACACACACACACACACACACACACGAGAGAGAGAGAGAGAGAGAGAGAGAGAGAGAGAGAGAGAGAGACTCTGTATCATACATACACTTTTTTCAGTTTATTTTTTTCTGCCATCTTTCGCTCCTGGTCCATACAGGGACCCTGGGATATTTCTGTTTTCCATTTCTCATTTCCTGTTTTCACTACTATCCTTCCTAGCCCAGGTGTGGCTATAGTTTAGACACTTAGTGCCCCCAAAGCATCAGGAGGAGGAGTCTAGTGCAAGGTCTTTTGTCAGTGAGGCATGTTCTTTAAAGGGACCCTGGCCTCCTCCTCCTCTGTGGCCTGGCCATGATGTGAGTGCTTATGTTCCAACACAAACTCCTGCCATGAAGTGTTGTTATCTTGACACAGCCTTCAAACAAGGGGCTAACTGGTTACAAGAGAAAATTTCCCAAACTGTCAGCCAAAATGAACCTTTTCTCTTTTTAAGTCTGTTGTGTCGGGTGTTACAGCAGTGCAGGTGTTAATGCAAGTTACAGTAATGCGGTGTAGTGTGGGTGTCAGAGTATGTGGGCGTTACAGTAATGCTGTATTATAGTAATGCAGCACCGACTAACACGGTGACTCGGTCTAAGACAGCCAGGGCTCCCTAGCACACACATCTGTGCCCATGTTAGTCTTCTCAGCGAACTTGTGTCCACTCAACTCACTCTCCTAAGTGCTAACATAGCAAACAGAACTTTCATCCCTCCGATCCCCGTATCTTCGGCCTGCCTGTGCTGCACCCTCTGCTCCAATGTTCCTCCTCTACAGCACATGCTCAGTCCCTTTCCTACCCCAGACACATGCCCCCCCTCACCTGCACCCTGGATCTGGTGCTTTTGGTCTGCTCTGAACTTTGTTCTCACATTGCCAATTTATCTATTCCCTCCTGAACCAGTCCTATTGCCTACAACCCCAGAGCCTTTTCTCTCACCTAAACAACGATTTCCAGGTTACTCAGTAGCTACTCTGAGTCTGTATCATCTTTAAACTTAGGTTTTCCATTTCTAATTGCCTCGTCAGTACTTCTCTTGGGTAGGTTGCTAAGCACCCCAAACTTAGCATAGCTGAATCAGAAATCTATCCTTCCCAAGACTCTTTGAAGACCAAGTCAATGATATGATTTCTGCAAACGGCTAGTATTCGTGCTGACTTCTCTTTCTTACACTTCTACCTCTAGCTCATCTGTAAGTCCAGTTGACTGTGACTATGACCATTCCTTGCCACCTCTGTGGCTGCCTTCCTGATCTAAGACACTTGTGTTTTCATCTGCTGACCACAGTGGGTCCTGTGCCAGATATCACAGCTACCTATTGCTAAGGGTTTCTTGCAGTTACATGGCCATATGACCAAGATCTCACCAATAGAGGGTAACCCTGGAGAGTGTCACTTCTGAGCCAAGGCCTTTGCCTCTTTTGTTTCTCCTCTGCCTGAGATCTGAATGTGTAACTCAGCCATGACATCAGCATGGCAAGGTCCTTGGGTCTGTGTGTCTTCAGCTCTTCAAAGGACCTTGGTTCCCTGAAGCAGTGCATTGAAGAGAACCAACCTCTCCCAGACCTGGAACACCCTTCTTAGATTGTTAATGCAAGTGAGAAACAACCTTCTGTCGTGTGCAAACCACTGTGCTTTTATTTCATTAGAACAGTTTAGCCTGTTTGCCTCCCAACAAGATCTTTTCTGATAAATGCATGTGACACACCACATCTTCCTGCCAGGGATGGTTAGTGTTTGTTACCAACTTGACAGAATCTAGAATCTCTTTAAGTGCAAAGGCCCACCCTAAAAGTGGACGGCACTCTTCTTTGAACTTGAATATTAGACTACAGGAAAATGCAAAACTAATTGAGAACTGATATCATCACTCTCTGTTGCTTGACTGTGGGTTGAGGTGACGAGCTGCCTCCTCAAGCTCCTGCCACCACCGTGGACTCCACCCTTGAACCGTAAGCCAGAATAAGCCCCTTTCCCCATAAGTTGTTCTTGTAAGGTGTCTTTGTCTCTGCAAGATGTAAAGTAACTGATAAGCCACCCCAGTCTACATCCCAGGATGCAGACTGTGTTTTAAACTCTTTATCATATTTACCACTTACATTCCAATGTATGTTTGCTAATCGCACCTCTTCCCTCACAAGAAAGAAAGATCCATGACACCAAAACCTTCCTGTATCTGTTCAGCATGTTCTTCCAACACTTAAAACAAACCATGGAATGGGGATGTTCCATACATGTGGTTGTACAAATAAGCCATTCACCCCCAAAGACATCATCTTCATGCTCTCAGATCCCATTTGATTTCATTGTGTGCTTATAAGTACTATACTTGAGTTCTACACATCCAAATTTGAATGACAAATAGCCTGTTTTAAAATCTTGCAAGCCGCATGGGGACAGGAGGACTTCCGGATGCATTCTTGGAAGCAGGAACCTGCTGGTGTTCACCAGTCTATGTTGTGAGTTATTTCTCCCTGAATAAACATCTGTTCGGCCTAATTGTCTATCCTGATCCTTATTAAACTGCAATATTTGTGCATAAGAAGTACATTTATACAATACAGTACTACTCAGCAGGGGGGAAAAAACAATGAATTCTTGAAATTTACAGGCAAATGGATAGAACTAGAAGACACCATCCTAAGTGAGGTAACCCAGGCACAAAAAGACAAACATGGTATGTACTCACTCATATATGGATATTAGACATAGAGCAAAGGTTTACCAAATTACACTCCACATCTCCAGAAAAGCTAGTAAACAAGGAGGACCATAAGAGAGACATACACTGTCCCCCGGTGAAGGGGAAAGGGACAAGAGCTCCTGGACAAATTGGGAGCATGGGGGAGAGGGGAGGGAGGGAGGAGAAA